TGCATGCTTACGTGCGTGCGTGTATGTTTGCGTGCATGCGTGAGTATACCTGCTTACGTGCGTGCGTGCGTGTATGCGTGCAGGCGTGAGTATACGTGCTTACGTGCGTGTGGGAGTATACCTGCTTACGTGCGCGCGCGCATGCCTGCGTGCGTGTGTATACCTGCATGCTTACGTGCGTGCGTGCGTGCGTGCATGCGTGAGTATACCTGCTTACGTGCGTGCGTGCATGCGTGAGTATACCTGCTTACGTGCGTGCGTGCATGCGTGAGTATACCTGCTTACGTGCGTGCGTGCATGCGTGAGTATACCTGCTAGCCCAATCAGGGAAAAATCGACTACCACGATGCCGCATAAAACTTAACACTAGTCCTGTGCAGTTCATGATTGATTCCGGTGCGTCAGTAAACATCATTGATGAGAAATCATACGACGAGTTGCGCAAATCGCGACCGCACACAGAACAGCTCCAGCAACCGCGAGCCATGCTGTATCCTTATGGTTCAAAGACGCCGATACCTGTCATCGGAATGTTTACCGCCAACGTACGCCACCGTGAAGCATCGGAAAGGGCAGTATTCTACGTTGTCTCGGGGACAGGCGGTAACCTGCTTAGTTTCCGAACTGCCCAAGCACTTGACATAATTTACATAAACTGTAACGTCAACTTAGAGCCTCAAGCAAAATCTGAAGTCGTCGAAGCGTTTCCAGATCTATTCAAGGAAGGTATTGGAAAACTTCGCGGATGCCAGGCGAAACTACACATCAACACTGAGATACCGCCGAAGCAGCAACGACATAGGAGAATTCCTTTCCACATACGCCGAGACGTGGAAGCGGAGTTAGACAGACTTGTCAAACTTGACATTATTGAGAAAGCAGATGGCCCGACGCCATGGATAAGCCCTATTGTTGCCGTCCCCAAGAAAAATGGGAAAACGCGCATCTGCATTGACATGAGAGCAGCGAACGCCGCAATAGTACGTGAGAAACATCCAATGCCAACAATCGACGAGCTGATCTCTGATTTAAACGGCAGTATCGTATTCAGCACATTAGATCTCACGAGTGCATATCACCAGCTTGAACTTGATCCGAAATCGCGATACATGACAACGTTTAGCACACACGCCGGATTATTCCGCTATAAGCGGCTTCTTTTCGGCGTTAACGCAGCATCAGAAGTGTTTCAGAGTACGATCGCCGAGATTCTCAGAGATCTCAAGGGTTGTCTCAACATGTCAGACGACATTATCGTTCACGGCCAAACAAGGTCAGAGCACGATGCAAACTTGAAAGCAGTTCTAAAGCGCCTACAGGACTATAATGCCAGACTGAACTTGGAGAAATGCAAATTCGCGCAACCTCATGTGTCATTCTATGGACATGTCTTTGGGAAAGATGGCCTAGCAGCAGATCCGAAAAAGATTGACGCGCTTGTTAACGCTCCACCGCCAACCAACGCATCCGAAGAAAAGTCCTTCCTAGGCATGGCGCAATACGTGGCACGCTTTGTTCCTAACTACGCCACAATCACGACGCCATTACGTGAACTGACACGGCAAGACACACCGTGGATATGGGGAAGACGCCACGAAGACGCATTTCGAGATCTCCAAAAAGCATTAGCCGGAGCCCATGTTATGGAGTATTTCGATGCGAGAAAACTGTCCGAGATCATCGTCGATGCTAGCCCGACTGGTCTCGGGGCAATCTTCACGCAGAACAACAAGATCATTAGCTATGCTAGTCGCGCCCTCTCTGAGGTCGAATCGCGCTACTCGCAAACTGACAGAGAGATGCTTGCGGTCGTATGGAGGGCAGAACATTTCCACCTATACGTCTACGGTTCAGATTTTACGATCAGAACTGATCATAAACCGTTACTTGGTATCGTGAACAGCACTAAACCAGCTTCTGCCAGGATCGAGAGATGGCGACTGCGTTTAACTCCCTACAACTACAATCTTGTCTACAAACCCGGACACGACGAGAACAATCCAGCGGATTTCTTGAGTCGTCACCCACATAAATCGTCTGCCGAAGCCGAAAATATCGCGGAAAGATATGTGAACTATGTCTGTCAGAACGCGGTGCCGAATGCCATGTCCGTTGATCAAATCCGAGAAGCGTATCGCACTGACCCGGTTATCCAAAAGCTACACGTAGCACTGAAAACTAGCAACTGGAAAGACAAGGACTTAACACTATACAAAGCAATTCGAGATGAGCTCATGAGCCATGATGGTATGATACTGCGACAAACACGCTTACTGATTCCCGCGAAGCTACAGCAGAAAGCCGTGGATCTTGCACATGTAGGTCACCAAGGCGTGGTCAAAACAAAACGCCTGCTACGCTCCAAAATCTGGTTCCCAGGAATTGACAAGATGGTAGAGAAAGTCGTCCAGCAATGCATACCGTGCCAGGCAACAACTCGAAAGTTTACGCCACCAGAACCTCTCGTTATGTCCAGCCTGGGAAGCAGGCCCATGGTGTGAAGTCTCAACAGACTTTGCCGGTCCACTGCCATCAAATGAAATGCTGTTAGTGGTGATCGATGATTACAGCAGATTTCCGGAGGTCGAGATCGTTCATTCAACCTCAGCAAAAACCGTAGTTCCGAAACTGGACAATATCTTTGCTCGACAAGGGACACCAGAAACTGTTCGATCAGATAACGGACCACCGTTCAATAGCGCGGACTTTGATAACTTCGCGAAATATCTCGGTTTCCGCCATCGTAAGATAACTCCGTTACATCCACAAGCAAACGGTGAGGCGGAACGCTTCATGGACACGATGATGAAAGCTATTCGCACAGCGACCATCGAGAAGAAAAACTGGAAACAAGAACTTAATCGTTTCTTGCGCCAGTATCGGGCAACTCCTCACTCGACAACGGGTGTTGCTCCAGCTGGAGCGCTATACAACCGTCGGTTCATACTGGTGAGTGATGTTTGACAATTAAGTACAACATAGTTATAGTATCACCCTGCTCTCACCCTAAGGAAAAGTGCTCTGTTCTGTACTGTTACACCGACTTACACGGCTTGCTGCCCAATGCACTCAACAGTCTGGGAGGAACTAAGTAAAGTAAGTTATCAGTGACAGTGATTTCAATGGTCCTACATATGTACATCCAAAGCAACTCACCTTTGACAGAATGACAAACTTGCTTCCCTTTAAAGAAACAAGGAGCTCTCTGACCCAATACGAGATGAAATAATTGTAAGCATCCAAGCTTTTGCCTAGTGATAAATGTCTGGGTATATACATCTGGAAGCTCTTTGCTCTCACAATCCAGGACAGATTTAAACTCTGATCGACCTACATATGGCATAAGTCATTAAATAAGTTCATTCGATTGGTAGAATAATATAAATAACCAAGTTAATTTTTACTCAACCGTGCTGGTATGAAACGTACCGCTGACGTTTCGCCTCCTGTCAGGAAGCTTTCTCAAAGCTAACTGATGTTAATCAGTTTTGACCACCAGATGGTGTGGTGGTCAATAGCTTAGTCCACTCGTGACTAAGCCTGGTGGTCAACGGTGGAGAAGTCCAACGGTGGCCAACGGTTGAGATTTTCACACCATCTGGTGGTCAAAACTGATTAACATCAGTTAGCTTTGAGAAAGCTTCCTGACAGGAGGGGAAACGTCAGCGGTACGTTTCATACCAGCACGGTTGAGTACAAATTAACTTGGTTATTTATATATGGCATAAGGATCAGCACCCACGCAATCAATCTTCTCTACATACCACTGTTTAGCCACAGAATCTAGTTTGTTTGCATGGGGGAGATCATTGTTGATATATCATGCATCAATCCTATGGTGATCAAGCTGTAGACTGGCTCTGGACGTGGACCTGTCTCTGGACGGAGTGACGGTGCCGACCGGGTACCAGTCTAAGCCAACTGAGCAGAATGAGATGATCACCAAAATGACGGAGAAACCATAGAACATCATATAATATGACGTAACTGCACACGGTCTATACCTGCTAACCTGCGCGCGTGCATACGTACGCGCGTGCATGCGTTCGTGTGTGTGAGTACGAGCGTACGAGCGTGTTGTATGTTTGCTCAACACAATTCAGAAAATAGAACAACTCAATTAATAATTATTACCAATTATATGTATTTATACCACACACACACCCACTCACACAGATTTTTGACACTTCCCTTTTTAGACTAAGCTTACACAGTACGAACTTACAAGCCACACTCTAGTCAGCATTCCGTTGTCAACTATGCAATATATAAGGGCGCTGGCCTTCCCTAAAGCACAGCAAGTTAAAAACAAAACTGGCAGCTATATCTTTACATCTATAGCGCACTAAGCACTTAAGCCCTAATGAAAGATGGGGGAGGTTAAAACAACATATGAGAATAGCAGCGATCCTGGAGAGCAAATATATCCACACATATCACGTGCAAGCAGTAGCTATGTCATTGGCAGTGTGTTATCACGTGTCTAGGGCTTTCCTCCCATGTGAGTTAGCTTGTGTGTCTTGAGATTTGCGGGTTGACTGCAGCTGTAGTCACACGTATCACATGCATAGCGTTTCTCTCATGTATGAATGCCCTTGTGTTGCTTAAGAGCTTTGTATGACGTACATTTGTACTCGCATTTGTCACATGCATAGGGCTTTTCACCTGAGTGAGTTCGTAAGTGCACATTCAGACGACTCAAGTGAGAACATGAATATGAACAAATGTCACACACGTAGGGTTGCTCTCCTGTATGGATGCGTTTGTGTCGCTTGAGTTTAGCCACTTTAGAGCATCTGTAGTCACACGCATCACATGCATAGAGTTTATCTCCCGTGTGAGTTCGCATGTGTGTCTTAAGATTGGATAGTTGAGCGCACCTGTAGTCACATGTGTCACATGCATAAGGCTTTTCGCCTGTGTGAATGCGCTTGTGTCTCTTGAGTTGCGTCATACTAGAACAGCTGTAGACACACGTATCACACGCATAGGGTTTCTCTCCTGTATGAGTT